TATTTTCAATATGAACATAATATTCCTATTGATTGAATAATTCTGGAACCATTTGAGAACATTTCCACTAATGCTAATATTGAACAACTTTTTGTTCGACACTTCATGGTTGAAAGTAATCAAATTATCGTAAAAACTATTTTGGTAACTTTCAACTTCAATATTCTTCGTATATTTCTTATTGCTTACAAGTTGAAAAGGATCTTAGTATCCATAACACATGGTGCTATTTTGGGGCCAGCCCAGTAAAAAATCATATGAAAGGAAATTCTTTCAACTCAAAAATATTTTGTGAGCAAATCAAATTACCATGAAAGAAAAAGAAGCAACTCGTAAATTGGAGAACAGTTCTAAAAAAACAATTGTTCTAGTTATAAATGTAAGATACAGTTATGTTTCCTCAAGGAAAAAACTTGTTTCATGAATTTTTATAGAAAGTACATATTTAGAAAGGAAACTCAAGTTGACGATGTTTTTTCATCAGCATCAATAATTCATCACATTTCAAATTTGGGTTCCTGTGAGATCTGATGTCCATCCCTGTGGACACTTTGCCAAAAAATAAATAGTTTTCCTCGAATTAACTTTTTGATTACTGCAAAGTTGTGTAATGAATAATTTTAAAATGCAATAAAAATGCAGGACATTCATTTATAAGCACTAAAAAAAAAAAACCTCAAATTACGTCAAACACATTAATTTATTACATTATATAATATGAAAACTCGTCACAAGATTTGCCCAATAAAAAAAATCATTAGAATTATTCAAGTAACACTCTGTGAGATTTCCACTGGACATTTCTCACAATAAAGTGTTCATTTGATACGGATATCATTAGGGAGCATAAAAAAATCCACAATATTAGACAGTCTGCCATATTGCACTTAGTAACATCATGTTATTTTTTGGCAAGACCTTTCATGTGATACCCATGCCATGGAAGTGCACAAAAAACTAGATTATCTGTTGGATGTAGAATGACGTCACCTAGCTAATTATGAATGTCATCCAAACTAAACAAGTATGCAAAAGTTTAGCTCAATTGGATGAGAATAAGTGCTTTGAAATTCAGTTGCCAGGCTTGGCCAGAACTGACATACATGCAAACATTGCAAATTGAATAAAAGCTTGTAACGGACAACTTACCGCTGCCTCAGCTGCTTCCGCTTGCTTTCTTTTTTCCTCTTCCTCTTGGTCAAGCTCTTTTATACTTTCTTCCAAAACGTTTGGCCAAAAATCTCCCTCAAAATATGGGAGATCGGCAGCCGATCTAAGATTATCTTCCATTGCTTGTTTCAGAATATCCTGTAATTAGCACACAAAATAGATTAAAAAAAGAAATATCAAAAATGAAATTTTCATCATACCTTATAATCTAAAACTATCCTTTCAATTATTCCTTTGTCTAACATCTTTTTATACCAGTCTTGCAGTCTCTTGGGTTTTGGTATTTTTTGGTCCAGCGGATGGCAATGAAAGATATAATCATCACCTTCCGAAGGGGGACAAGCCCATATATGAGCCATAGTATAACCTAACTGTTTCACATAGTCCATATAACCTAATAAAATCTCATGATACACAGCAGTCCTAAATTGTCTGGGTTTGAAAAAGTGAACAGAATCTAAGTACGCTATATACACTCGCCGCGTGTTTGGCATAGGACACTCCGAACCGTATTCCTGAACGTGCATCCCAAAAAAACAAACGTCCACACCGTCGATTTCCTCAAAGGCAAAAAGGGCCTTCGCCCGATATGGAAACTCTCCTGTAAGTTCACCGGTTTCAACAAACTTGGAACGCATCCCCGGTTTAACCTCAACAACTTTTTCCGAACTTGATACAACACGAATCGATACATCACCCGCTCCAGCTTCTTTCTTCCTGAGGAAAAGATTCACCCTGTTTTCAATGTAAATGCCTAAGTTCGTAACCTGCAACCGTTTCGCGTTGAATTTGTTCTCCCGACGTTTCAGTCCTTTGATTTCGAGGCACTCATCACAAATAAAACCTAGGGGCCAAATGGCTTCAATATGAAGAACACATATTTGGTGGAGTTTTCGCCCACAGTCATTGCAATGCACAAACGTTTCCATCTCCAGATGATCGTTTTTCATTTCCTTGAACTGATCCTTCTTTATATTTCTGAAAAAAATATATATAATTGAGGTAATGAAATGACACACATTTCAAAGTGAGTTAGTAACAAATTTTGATATTCAGAGTGGATGTTCTGTGAAATTACAAAAGCTCTAGAAACTGTAGAGTGAGATTTGCTTAGAAGATATAATCGGACTTCACTACATTTTTATATTTGCTTTTACAGACAAAGCAATGTAAAAGCCAATATAAAGCTTTTTGATAGTTGTTTTAGATTCATGAAGTATTAAATATTTAGTTTTTATAACTATCACTGTTTTTAGTACAGTAAATCCTTATTTATAAAATAAAATAATCTATATATTGATTTACTGCCGACAGTAATCACTGAGTGATTTCTTGTGAAGTAGCGCATGGAGAATCTGTAGATTCGTTAACTTCTGAATAAAAAATATTACAAAACAATATTATTATTATTATTATAACAAAAAATTATGCAATATAAACAAGACTTACGTTTGGGCTTGTGTAGGATCCTCTCCTAGCGTTACTGTATCTCCTTGGATGTCATTAAAACATTTCTGACAGAAAGTGTACCTATCAGATCCTAATCCATATGCTTTCATACTGAGCACCGAGAAAAAAATACTTGTTATTTAGCAAAGACCAACAGAATTCATATCATATTTTCAAATAATAAACTGCACAATGAACCAAACAATAGACACAATAAAAAAGTATCCAAATTGTCATCATTTCAATGATGAAGATTATTATTACTTGTTACTGACCTGAAAATTTAAAGCCATTTCTGCAATTGATGCTAATGGATATTTCTTGAATTCCAACTTTACAACTTTTGCAGAATGTATCTTTAATTATAATTTGCATACAGATTTGTTTTCATGAAACAAAAAGCAGGTTTTTTTCTTTTTTTAATTAACCAACAATTTTGTCACTATCGTAAATAATCTTACTTCCTCAGAAAACCAATGAAGAAATATTGTAAGAAAACGGCTAAGGAAGCCAAAAGTATACACTTTCGTAAAATAAGCCAAGGTGATAAAGAGAAGTTTGTGAATCTTATATTCAAAAGTTGAAGTTTCCAGAGGAACATTTCACAAAATTTATAATTGACAATACTCATAGTTGACAAAATTCCAAGATGAATTTAACAACAACACAACTAACTAGTGAGTGATAGAAAACAGACTATTTCGAGTCAAAAGTGGATAGGCTCATTTGGTTGATAATTTTGGAACTCAGAATTCACCATTCTGATAGTAAATCATCCGCTTATGGGATGTTTGGCATGAAAAAACATTCAATAGATTTTTTTTCAAAAATACTAATAAAACGGTATGAACTGATTTTGAAAGTAGACCACTAAATCAGAAATTTAACTAGAAAAAACGTTTTCTCTCTTGAGGATCATCGTTAATCCAAGTAATATGTGGAAGCAAATGAAATATATATGAAATTGTTTCTTAACTTTTTCAGTATCTTCTTGCTTTACTCAATAAATATTACTTTTTATATGTTATTCGAAATGAATCTATGAATAAATAAAAGTAAATAAAAACATACCTATTCTGATAACTGTAATACTTGGCATCTCTGGGAATTGTGCATAGTTGTTTACCGTAGCAGCACAGCACCTGAGGATTGAAAGTATACTTCCTACCACAACAATAACCCATAGACTGCATAACAGGATCGATTTCTTGTTCGAAAACCTCAGACAGCTGTAAATCACACCAAACATCAGGTATTTCAAAATCACACTAGCATTCAAAAAATTACCTTTGTGCAATACCTATATACTCGACTTGTTTTTCTATTGTACAACCATGCATTATCGAACATTAGCCACACGTCGTCCACATACTCCCAGGGGTCTGCATACTGTCCAATATCGAGTTTTCTTTTGATTGTTGACAAATCCATAGGCCTTTTAACAATTTCAAAATAGTCTGGGATACCTAAAGTCTGCGGATCTACAGGTTGCCTGAATGGAATACTTTCTGGGTCTTGTCTGAATAGTTTCTCCAAGGTTGGCATCAGCTTCTGTCTGAGTTCATCCGGTTTGAATTCTTATACAGAAATCAAGTTAATTATATTGGATATAGATAATAGTAAGGTATATATGAATGGTTTCTAATCAATAAATTTGAATAAAATCTAGAAACACTCACTCTTGTTCTTCCTTTCGCTTGTTGCTACAACACTGGTTGAATCAACGGAGGGTTTCACATCTGCAGAGATTTCAGAGATGCCCGGTTCTTCTTTCACCAAGCCAGGTTCTTCCTTTATCATATTGCCATGTTCCCCGATCGATTCTGATGCAATCTCCTGCTTAATCTCCATTTTAATCTCACTTCTCGTTCCTTTGCCGCCCACACTCTCCATCTGTGATTCATTCATCTCTCCCTCTTCTGCCCCAACTTCCATTTTGACTTGCTCCAACTTTCCTTTACTACCTCCCCGAGGAGGTGATGGGGATTCTTCATCTCTATCAGCTGCTGCAGTTATCGCTGCCATTTGGGATGACAGAGATGACTGCCTTGGAGCATTTAAGGCAGCACGCTCTGCACTACTCATGCCCTTTCCTGGAAGTGGATAATTGTTAATGATTCTTCTCAATAAGTACACACTAGAGAATTCAATTGGTAAGTTCCAATGAATACAATTACAAACATTTCAAGCAAAAACTTCACTGCCAAATTCTTTAAAAACATCAAACAAATGCTGAATAGCAATTATTAAGTTCCAGTGATAGGATGAGCCGAAAACACCGTTATTCACTTGGTTTTAAAATCATATCAAAATTCATAATGAATCACAGATAATGGATGTGAATTAATTATATATTTAGATATTGAAAGCTTTTTTAAATAAACAGTGATGACATTCACTTCATCTGAAAACTAATTAATTTTTATTCACAGTAAAAAATATATGGTCTTGTCACATACTAATGAACTCTGCTGAGAAGTCACTAGTCTGCCATTCGAGTACCTCAGCAGACGAAATTACCCTGCAAAGGGTATAGTTTTTAAAGATATATAAATTTTTAGAAATATATAAATATACAATAAAGATCATCTACAGCCTGGCTAGACTAAAGGATAGTTTGAATTTAGGACATTAATCAATTTTTTCAATGCCTTTCACAAAAATAAATTCACGTTCTTGGTAAGCTCCTGAACATTTTATAAATAAAATAAAATTTTACGAATCTGTATGTCATCCATTCTAGTAATAATTTATAAAAAAATATTCAATGGTTTTACCATACAGTCAACTTGTATAATTTTTTCTTCCAACTCCATGTATTTTCAAGTCTTATTTTGGAAAACTATTGACACGTCTAAAAACTGTGTTTCTATAGACTAACCTATTATTATTATTATTACCAAAACCATGGATATTTTCTCTTGATTTTAGAGAGCACATGAGTCAATTATAAAGACAGTCCATGACGAAAGTTCTGACATGAACTCTTGTGGAACACCATACAAAAAATTTTGGCCCCAAGAAAAAAGTTCAAAATTTTTTTGTAGAAAACATACTTGAATATACACTTACCCATACTGGCGGCAACTGATGACGGTGAGGCCTGAATCGGAGTTGCTGGTGCTGGAGAAGCCCCCCTGGAAGAACTGACTGACCTGGGACCTGCAGTTGTAGCATGTGGAGTGAGTACCGAATCTGAACTGGTGGTAGGTATTCTATTGCCATTCTGAGCAGAAACCGGTTGCAAGTTTTGCGATTGTTGAACAAAACTCGATGGTGAAGGAGATATCCGACTGGACTTCAACATATCTCCATAATGATTTGCTTGAGAGTTCTGTCCACTAGGCGACACTTGAGGAAGGCTGACAGGTCCATTGCTTGTTGTAGGAAACTGGTTGCTGGAAGAAGTGGTGGTACTACCTTGAGAAAGAGGGTTTCCAAATGGCGACAGACCAGGATTCGATGGACTCGGGCTGGGCCCTGGTAAACCAACATTTTGCTGAGGCTGCTGTGCGGTTTGTTGAGTGGGCTGTTGAGTAGAGAATAGTAATCGGTTTCCAGGTTGATTGATAACACCAAGACCTCCTAGAGGAGGACCGCCGAGAGATGGGGAACTGCTTCTCAAACCTGGTTGGGTCTGGGCAGGGGACTGCTGTTGCCCCGGAAGAATATTACCTGGTACTGGAGGTCTCGGTCCCATTCCTTAAATTTGGAGAGAAGGTATTTACTTTTCACATAATTTGAGTACTTGTTTTCATTTGCATTTTTTATGAAATATAAACAATTATTAAGGCAATGTGCACATAAAAGAAGAAAAAAATCATCAATATAATTTGTTAATCACCTTGAAGATTTGGTCTGATAGGCTGTGTATGCTGCTGTTGTAATTGCAGTTCTTTTCTCTTCTGTCTTTTTTCTTCCAACTCTTTCTGAATCTTGTAGATTTTTTCTGCCAGTAGGTGGTAGTACTCAGACCTCGAATTGGCCATTTCGTACATATCTCCTTCTACCTTCCTTGCATAGGCAACCAAATTGTGCATTCTTTTATCGAGCAGAGCCTGGGGATCGGGCGTAGGAAATATAGCCTGCACCAACTTATGCACCAAATGGTTTCTGAGATCTGGAGTAACAGACTGATGCCACTCCTTAGTTCCAGCTACAGGAGATGCAGTCACTTGACCCGGTTGCAAACCTCCTGGCAACTGGCCTACCAAACCTTGATTGACTGCCTCTGCACCACTAGCAAGACCAAACATCACACTATTTACGCTTTGTCGTAAGCTGGCAGCAGTCTGATCAACACCTTGAATTTGAGCCGAGTTGGAAGAGGGATCATTATTCAAAGGTAGAGATACATTGGGAGCAGCTGGGCCGGGTGGAGCTAAACATCTCATATTACCTGAAATAGTAATCGATGATGAATCAAGAAACAGATATAGTACATTTTGTATTTATAATATCAATGAAAACACAATACTGTTATACCAGTACAAGGTGCATTCACTTGTTCATGAGGCAAGAAATTTGAAATACGGAATACAGGTATAGTACATCAAAGACAATATTTTCAATGATGAAACACTTGAACATCTATACAGGGTTAACTGGAAATAAAAACAAATCAAGAATTTCAAATAAAAACCTGTGTATTTTTGACCATTCGATCAGATATAAGTCTCTTTTCAACGATATAACATGCGTCCATGTTCCATTCGAAATGGTAGGATAGGAGCCATTTTCTCCAATATAATATGGCGGCGCTATGACGTCAACTCACCGGATGACAAAATTCAAAAATTAAAAATTTTCACTAATTTGTGTACCATCATTTTTACTTTTTCAAATGCTACATTCTACTTCATTTGTATAAAAAATCTTAAATGGAAAAGTGATATTTTTGAACTTTTATGTCGAAGTGCAACTCTTTAATTACAAAAGGTTATAGACGATACTATGCTGTTCATTTTTGTTTACCAATGAAATAGTGGCAGTGTCAAAGCTGCTCTATATCATTGTGAATCAATAACTACTTACTCACTTTTTTGTAAATATTTTAAATATGTAATCAAACAAGTTTAGTAATTCAATTCTGTTATCAATTCATTTTTGTGTTACTTAGATAAAATAATATTTCAATAAAATGATTTGCTCTTTTCAATGCTTATCGTTGATTTCAATTCTACCGTTTTCAATAAGTAAAAATATATGTCGCCGTGTGCAGTTCTCTGTAATGAGTGTATTTCTTCCCGAAAATAATAAAAGCCAATATACTCACCTAAACTAGGTATATTTTGTCCAGGATTCAGAGGTAACCTTAAAGCTGGCCTTGACGGAACAGGGTTTGGAATCAGACCAGCAGGAGGTGGACCTGCACCTGTTGTTGGGCATTGGATTCCAAGAGCATCATACGCTCTTCGCATATCAGTTGCTGACGGGTTAGGAGATTGGTTGTTTTGAGGAGGGTTTGTAGCCGCTAAAAAATACATAAATCCATATTCTTATGTAATCTTTGGTTGGTAAATTTTCGAGAACGAGATGAAATTATGCAAAAGCAACAACTATAAAATAAGATAATTCAACATTTCATTCAAAACTCAAGAATACTGTTGAGATGTGGTCAGAAGAAACATAAAAATAGAACAAAACATCTCAGTGTTTCTATAAATTTAGGGAAAAATAGGAGTATCACCCATATTCAATCTGCATGATGCAATATTCAAATTTTCTAAGTTGTTTACTTCAAGTAATTAACTTGAAGTGATATATATGATAAAGAGTCACACATGTGTGTAATTATAAATAACTTTTAAATTTGAATTCATAAAAAAATAATATGTATTCATTTGTGTATATGAAATGATGCTTATCATGTTTGTGAAAAGTTTATTGCCCTACTTTCATAGATACTATGAGTCGGTACAATTATTTCCACCAAAGTCACTTCCTCTGTGAAAAATATGCTACGAGTATAACCAACAGTTCATTGCTACAAAAAAGAATACAAATTAATTCAACTTTTCGAAATTGAAATATAAATCATGTATAATACCAAGTGAAAAAATAATATTAGAATACAAATATGAAGATTCGAGTAGTAAAACTAATAGAGAAAACTAAAAAAACATGTATGCCTTTTCAACTGGAGTTTCATACTAAGCGAGACCCATATTCTATTGAATTGTCAAAAAATTCAATTTACTATTGATTTGGGGTTTTTCTTGTTTAAAAATTTAAATAAATTACAGAATTGATTAAGTGCATTTATAATTCATCTTACTTATGAACTACAGTTGAATTATTTAAATAGAGAAAATGGAGATTCACTTAATTTCCTTAATCACTTAATGTTCCTTCTCTGTTCATGACATTTAATGCATGATCGGTTCCTACATTTGTTCGAGCACCACCAAACTATCCCTATCCTTTGCCAAGTTATAACTCATTGAAATGGGTACAACAACCGGACTGAGTCATGACCAGTGGGAAAAATCGTATCTGAGTAAAGTTTGGGTCGGTGTATGACAAAGAATTAGGAAAAAAGGAACTCTATCACTAACTGAATACGGTCCTGAATTTGGATGTTTACGGCTCGAATAATCTAACAGACTGATAACAGATTTCTACACATCTTGAGGGAATGGCTTCTCACCGGCCATAACAGCTGTATGTCTTGTTTTCTCCAGTTTTTAATTTTTTCTCTTGAACCCCATTACCTGATATCCATATCATAAGACTACATAAAAACTAGCCCATCATATTGGGCGGTCTGCCATATTGGAGTCAGAGTGACAATGTTAATTTTCAATTCTTTTCAGAATACCCTTTTCACTTGATACCCATATCATAAGAGTGTATTTAAAAAAACTAGTCCGCCATCTTGGTCGGTTCGCCATATTGGATGTAGAATGGTGTCTCTTGGCTAACCGTGCATTGTTATCCTAAGCGTTTGTGCAAAATTACCGCTCAATCAGTTCCAAATTTAGTTGCAAGATTTGACTCAAACTTACATACATGAATAAAAAGATTATAGAATAAATAAAATCTTGTAATGACCCAAAAAATGTTCTATTATTAGTTATACTTAGTCATGTGGTGCCCTTTAATGTTTCAACTGCTTTTCAGATTTCTTCTGTACTCAAAAACTGTGGTTGTACTCGATTAAATAAATACTAAATTTTACGACTTAACGTGTCATAATTCTGAACGAAGGTACAAAGAAAATCTTCACTTACCATTAGGATTATTGCGATTCTTATCTGCCTGTTTGAGAGGAAGACAAACAGGACAATCCGTTCTTATACAGTTCTTCCAATGGCTTATTATCTGACGGGACGAGCTACAATGTGCCACAGAACAACCTTTTCCAGCATTGCATGTTGTCATGTGATTCAAAACATTTTTCATCGTCTTACAATGCGGCAGAGTACAAGACCACACCTCACCATTGGCCTGTGATTCTCTTCTTTGACACTTGTGAGCATGCAGCAGAAGAACTAGTTGCTGCTGTATAAGCTTTCTCTTTTCAGGGTCTGCTGAATGAAATAATTTAAAAAAACTTTGTTAAAATTTTTGGGCATGCAAAAATAAAAAACTTGAAACTGAAATGGGAAACCTGATATACATATAAAACATTTTTTTGTTACAAATCATACTTGAATAATAAATACAAACATGAATAAGAAACGCAAGTAAATAAATGAAACAAACAAATATTTGCTATAAGTATGCAATAGATGTGTTACAGTAATAATTCAAAGTGCTAACACTGATACAAACTGTTAATGTTTAGTATTTTGATTTTATATATTCATTCAAAGTGTATGTGATGAACTGGTTGAAGTAAAAAGGTGCTTCATAAAACAAAATTTTGAAGATGACAATCATAGAAGAATAGAAAATTATATCTTCAACTGAGAGCCAACCTAATACTTGATGCATAATTATGATAGGAGCGAGTCTGTTGCATTTCAAAATAATTCGAGTACCTCTATTTTGCAACTTTTGCAAGGATTCTAGACTATTACTATCGAATAATGATAATAAGTTGCCTCAGTATACAAAGTGAGGTTGTATTATAGACTGTTACATATGTTTGGAAGCTAAGATGGCTACTGACACGGGCAAAGAAGCACTGTTTTTTTTTTGCTATTTTACTGTGTATGTATTGGATGTGATCTTTGAAGTTCAATGTGTTATCAATCATGAATCCAAAGTATTTGATTTTTTTTAACAATTTCAATGTCAATGCAACTAATTTTATATCAAGTTGCTTTAGTTTTAGTGCAGTTTAGAAAAGTTGTCGAAGTTCCAAGTAAAAATCACATAAAAAAACTTTGATTGAACGAATTTTCTGAAGCATTTAGTATTCCAAAAGAACATCAAACTAAATTACAGCATTCTCATCTCTATCTTGATCATTTTTGGTATTGCAGAAATGACTATCGACTTAAACGGTTTCAAGGATATATTCAAAAACAAATCGCACATTTACATTACCAGTTTTTTCCACTACATGATGGTTCTTTCTTACCATGTTTCATCTTTCGGGCACCATAATCAAGTATCTATCAACATCCATAATAAATGTATGACGATACAGTAGAAAGAACGACTACTTTGAACTAATCTTTCGGGTTTGATTTATTCTAGTGGGTTCACTAATATGGGGTGTGAATTTCTTCATAACTAATGAGAAAAGAAAATCATGCAACAACTGCTTACCAGTAGATGGTGGTGGGGCTGCACCAGGTTGACTCCCCGGATTCTGCGTTGCTTGCTGAGGTGTTGACTGAGTTCCGCTGGGAGCACCCGACTGTGGTTGTGCTGGTGAAGGAGCTGGAGGTTGTGTCTGCACAATACCACCATCGCCACCACAACCTGGTCCTACAACAGAAGTAGTTTGTGGCCCTCCAAACCTTGGACCCTGGTTCTGCATATTCAGTTTTTGCTGGGGAGTGACTACACCTGAATCGATTAGAGATAATTCGATGTGAACAGGGGGTGTGTGATTGAACTCTTCAAAATTCAGAGGTTTCAAAACTCATGAGCATAATAATCAAGAGAGATAGGGAAATGATATTTTTTTCAACAAGTAATAGTTGGGAATTACTCACCTACAGGCACTCCTTGGGCACCGGAGTTGGGATAAGTTGCATATGGAGGATTTCCGGGCATATTTGGTGTATTACACTTTGTTCCGCATAACCGAGGTCCTATGTGAAGGGAACCAGGAGCGTGCTGGTTCATGTGCATGCCTACTCTGTTCAACATTGGTCCATTTGGTAACCCCTGGACGTTATGATTGCCGGGATGTTGAGGATGACCAGGTGAAAACATGTTAGGTGTATTTGACAAAGGTTTGTTTATACTACTGCTCACTATTAGCCCCCCTCCTGCCATGTTTCCCATTGAATTTATGTTGCTACTGGTCATAATCATATTTCCTCCACTGTTGCTGATACCTAGGAAATGAATTATTAATGAATATCCAATATTCATTAAAGAAAACAAAATGTTGAAAGCACATTCTCTACCAACCCTGAATGGAGCCTTGAATGGAACTCATAACTTGAGCAGAACTGCAATTATTGGCCATGGACTGAAGCCCTGTATTGTTAGACAGACTTGAAGGTAAACTCCCCAAATTCATTTCTACTACGCCAGTTTTTGCAACAGATACATTAGGAGGAGACTGAAGATTAGGACTCTTACTACCTAAAGGACCACTAGTCAACACTAATGCATTGCCTGCTAAACCTTTATTACTCTGAAAAAAAAAAATAGTATGACTGTTGTATGAAAAACTAATATGCAATAGAGAATATTTTTTGTTGATTGTGCTAAAAAAAGCTTTCTCGATTGTTCATGATTTTTGGGTGAAAATTTGGTTTTTTGTCCACTTATTTGAGCTGAGAGCCCGGTTTATAACAGCCACAAAAAAATTCTCAACACGCGTTTCACCAACTAAGTTGACGTCTTCAGGAATTTAAGTCGGCTATCTACTACATCTCCTGAAGACACCAACTTGGTTAGTGAAACGTTTGTTGCGAAGAATGTTGCTCTTGTTTGAGAGCATTGTTTGTTTTGGATTTATTCTACACCAGAAGTTCCATTTCTATCCGCTGATCTCAATTATAATTTGTCACATCTTAAAAATCAACATTTGATGGAATTATATGATCCGTTTGACATTTTATTACTAAACTATAGATTCATATTTCAGTAATGTTTCTAATAAACCAATCCATTTCTTAATTGAAAATGATCAAATCAAAAAATTACAATCAGCTGAAAATAGTGTATAACATACTAATAAAAAATTTGAATTTTTGTCATTATGTCATAATATACTTCTATACAACGTATGATGCGTGACTTACCTGCTGCAACAGGTGACTAAGTTGCATTTGCTGTCTCAGGTTGTTACTGTCAGAGTTTTCGATGCCGTTCTGCAAACTTCCTGGACCTGGACCTTGAGCAGGGGGCTTAGTATTGCCCATGTTATCGGAAAGTCCCCAAGGAGATGAAGACATGAGCTCGTCCGGAAGATCATTTTCCAGATCAAGCATGTCCATATTTGAGAGAACATCTGATTGATAAAAAACTGATTATAAATACATTTCCTCCAGCAGTTAAAACAAACGTGATTAATATGTTAATTAACACACTGTATATCAGATAATTCGAACAATCCAAATAAAACCTCAATCAAGGCAATATAGATGTTGAATCAAAATGATACTAATTATACAAAAAACAAGGCTTTATAGAAACATCTGAATAATTTTTCAGTTCAACGTACTGAAATAGTTAAAAAATAATACAATTCAAAGAAACTCAAATTTATCTTGGTGAGGAATTATTCAAATAAGGTCTATAACTAATAAAATACCACTATACTATATTCGTTTCCAAGGCATGCTCAAAGTAAACATAGCTGAACAGGTGATTGGGGGTGTGTCGATTTGCCAGCCGAATGCTGTAAGGTTTTAGTTATATTAAGTCTTGTCTTGGAATTGACTATAGTATAAAGTGTAACTCATGAACCAAATGTTTATAATAATGATAATCTTCACAAACACTCACTGAGAGTGGAGCATAATCAAAAAAAAAAATGAAGGAGAGAATTTTTTTTTTCTGCAAGAGAGAAAACAGATCAAAATTTGTTCTAAAAATTGTACGGTATGTAGCAGACCCCGAATATTATATCTAGTTGGATCAATGAAAAAGGGCTAAACATAAGCCCAATGAAATCAACCATTGTAGCATTCACTAACAGGACCAAAGAGAACCTAAGGTTCTCCAAAATTTTGAGTTGAAGAGAATCATCTCTCATAAGGGGGTCAATATCTGAAAGTAATACTAAATATAAGCCTGACCTGGAACCAATATCTAGATAGAATAAAAAAAGGGGTATTTATTGAATTGCAATAAACTTTTCTGGTGTGCTTAAGTTTTAATATTTCGTTAAGTCTGATCAAAATATTTTTGTAGCTTTCATGGATTATTTTTATGAAAACTAGACTCCAGTTTTCATTGTACTATCTTTTAAATTGGCACACTTGTTTAAGAAAACAAGCAATTTTAAAAGCTACTTTACTTCTGAAAGGTGTGCTACAAAAGATGTCAGCTATTGAAACTTGTTTCAAATAGAGTTCAGGTCATATTTGACTTAGTAGACCAGAAAAGTGTAAAGTACTTCAATGTGCCTTAAAAACTGGCTTCAGAATGAATTAAAATTACTCCAAATTGTTGAGACTGGTACAAAACATTAAGATTCTGGATTGAATAAAGTCTGGAAACAGGACACAAGGACTATGAATATAAATTATTATTTTCCTGTATCTTCCTTAGGTAAATCTAAACTATTGAGGAATTAGTTTAGTCAGAAAAATGTCAAGAATCTGATGTGTGGAATGCCATGAAGCATAACACAGATGAGAAGTTTTGCAAGTTATACGTTCAACAATAATTTCTTTGATGGAATTTGTGATCAAGCTCACATTTAAAAGGATTCAGTTATTGTTATACCTCATATATTTATTTGAAACGATTTTTGATTAGTAAGATGATAAATCTTACAATCTTTATAGCAAATATAGAGTTTATCATTCTTATTCTACTTCAACAAAGTTTGTATAAACCAATAATTGTGTTGCAAAAAGTATTCAGGAGTAATACATCTTCTATTGCCAGTAATCAATCAGTTACTACTGTTACTCAGTTACTATTGTTACTCAGTTACTATTGTTACTAACTGTTTTGAAAACTAGACTGGATACTCTCTGTTCTATAAATGTTCTACATTTGTCTCTCAATAATAAAATAATGTCTAAGTACCATAGTTTCTTTAAGGTATCATATTCAGGCACCATTTCACCAATTTGTCTTTGAATTTCTTTGAATGAAAAAGTCTGAATGGCTAAAACCCTTCCATTCTTTCAAAAATTATTTGATCAATTGATCCAAAAGTTGTCCTGCTAGGAAAAATTATTTATAATGGTTTATTCACATGCAGGTACTGAGTCAGTCTCATGCAAACATAGCAAGGTTCTATTAAATTAACTAAGACAAAAGCTCAAATAAATAAAATGTAACACCTCAAACACAAACTAGAACAATACTTAAATAATAACAAATGTTTAAATACAGTCAGAATTTAGAGTTACCATTTTCCATACATATTGAAAAAATGTAATTATTTTGTACAGAACACAGCCTAATATTACGTCATTTCATTTAATCAGATTCGAAGATAACTGATGCAAGTATTTGTAGTTTTTACAAGAATTGACCAAATGGTGTGTTATCAGAAAAAAATGCCAAAAAAATTAAAGCAACACAATTAAATGGTTCAGGGATTGAAAATCATTATTACCATATTTCCATATAAAAATTATAAAAAGAGCATAGGTAGAAAAATTTGAAAACTGAAAGCACTCGACTACTAGCCTAGAAAAGCAAGAAAAAACCAAAAAAATGGGTTTGTTTTGAAATAAATAAAACAGCGTCAAATGTTGCAGAATTCAAAAATCCCTTTTAATTTAATAAAAATATGTTTCAAGGTTAATAGGAAGGAAAATTACTTATTCCAACCTCTCAACCTACAAGTGTTAGTTGTTAGTTGAAATAGAATCCACATTTTATAATAATAGTGTATTTACTTTGTTGGCCATAATTCCAATGGGATCCTGGAGTTAAAACACCACCACCACTACCAACTGGCATCTGCGTGGGTAGCAAACCATAGTTGAAAGCTGAGGTTAGAAACGAAAAATAAAAAATATTAATAATAGACCAAATTTTCCTATTTTCAGCACAGCAAAGTTTGTCAAATGGAAATACATCCTTATGAAATTGTATTTGAATCATTAGTCTATTCTTCATCGGGTGAAAGCATAGAATTCATAAAAAATTTAAAAGCAATTAAAATAGTTGTATCCTAAGCTTAGTAATGTAGTAATAAAGCTTCTAAAACAGTAAGTGTTGTGAGGTATTTTGTAGGTTTTACTAAACAAATAAAATAATAAATATAGCCTGTGCTGCATCAGTTTTTTGGAACACCTTTGATAAAGTAAAGCACAGGGTAGAAAAGAAATAAAAAATGTGTACATAAAAATCATAGTTAACTGGGAACCCCTCTTTAACTATCATAACCAATTTGAAATTATTTTTTGTGACATAATTTCAGGTTTAGTAAACTTGTACTCTACTCAGAATTTAGTGTACTATTCATTTAACAAATATATTGTGTTCAAAGTGAAGCTAGTATAATCCAACAAAAAAAATTCAACAGCTAAGCTGTGGTGAAGAAGAGACTAAAACCTTGGTGAAGTTAAATTGGATTAAATCTATCTTGTGGTCAATTCTGCTAATTCAATATTGAGTTCTGCTATCTTAACATTAAGCTAGTAGAATCCATGACATTTGAAGTACCTACCTGCAAGGTGAAGTAAAAACAAATAGTTCTGCTAAACTGATAGGGATATCCCAATCATTATATTCAGAAAAATATATTTTTTGTGAAAAAGGTCTAGCTAAGAACAGCAGGTTTATACTTCTTCATTCATTAATTATATTATATTCCTTTATCGTAAAAATCAACTAATGAAGATAGTATAATTACTACCTATATAAAACGATAGAGATATTTTTCCTAACAGAAAAAATAAATATCTATATAAAGCATTTTGAGTACTGTAGATGATTTAATTAATTTTATTTTAAAATATGTGTTTATTCTCTGATATGCAGAAATCTATTGTTATCAAATAATTGTAATTTTTATACATTTTTTATGCCAAATTTTTGTGGACGTTTCAATTGATCTAGTTCAATTCATATTTTCATAATGTGGGGGGTGAAAATACCAAGTCCAAGAAAAAAATAACAGTGTAATTACTGATTTCTTACCATTTTCTTCACCTGAATCAATCATGAAAACAGTCTTTCTTCAAATGTCAACAATGGTTCTCTTTTAACTGAAGGCTAAAGGGATTTTGAACCTGATTAAAGGGCTCAGAAGTAGAGGAAGTGAAAATAGGGGGATATAATCAAGTAATAATGAAAAGATACAAAAACTCAAGAATATAATGTTGAAATGGAAATATATTACTGAAAACTGAAAAATAATATAGGAAAAAATAACTAAAAATTAATCTGGAAAGTAGACATAAGGATGAAAGCAAAATATAAGAACAGAAATAAGACAAATAAATGAGACACTTCACTCTACTCTGTGGATATTTATTCAACCATTAATATTATGATTCCTATTCAATGTAAAATCAATTTATTTTTCATTTCATACCTAAATATACTTTTTATCATAATGAAATTGGTCAAGAATAATGAATTCAACAGTAATGAATTTCATTAGTTCTGACTTCCTTTGTCTAATATTGTACTACAATTCAAAATCTATGAAAGAAAATCAAATTCGCCATGAAACATTGTCAACTGCCTTCAAACGAACAGTAATGAAGTTCATTTATTAATTGTCGGATTTTGATTTAGACATTTTTTTATCTATCATCACTCTTTCTCACTTTCTATATCTTCAGGTAATGGAAATCGAAACCTTTTAACATAAAGAAAACACATCACATCATGATGATCCATGCATAAATATCATGCTAAGAAAGCACAAAAACACTATTTTGCGGAACTACAAATGAATACCATGCTTTCTTTACATCACATATCCATAACAGCATGTTAAAAAAAGGATTAGGCTTCTACAATTTCAGACATTAATAGTATTTATTGTGCATAGTTGAAACTATTCCGAAACCAGACTAAAGGTTTTTAAGCCTTCGTTATCAATCATTGAGAAAATTTACAAAAATATACATTTTTAAACTTTAAATTTTTCAAATGATGGTACATGTACAAGTTCTTGACAAAGAAATATAAGTTAAGAAAACTTAGGATATTTTCTATTAGTAACAATATACTAGGATATTTTCTTGAAGCGCTCAAAAATGATTTATATTTTAAGGTAGTATATATTGTTACTACAAAATTTTACAAGGAATTTTTTGCTGGTGGTGTTGGCATTGTTACAAAAATTATACTACAAATAAAATTAAGCTTTGAAAAAATTATGAGCTTTTTAGGGTAAAGCTGAGTTTTCAAAATTTGCCCTTGTAATTTTCATTTTTTGACACTTACTTTCGTGATATTGCCAATAAATAAAAAAACTCAGTGTTCTGAATTATTTAAAATGAAATAGAAAGGGGTATATTCTTAAGAGAGATTAATTTTTGGGAAAACAAGGTTTTGACTTTCTACCTCTCCATCTTTACACAAAAAATTTGGGAGACTTCTAAAAGGAAGACGAAAGCAAGTAATTTCAAAATAAACTCTCCACAAAGATTTATAAATAGGGCTTTTCCTTCCAGTCTGTACCTGAAATATGGAGAAGTGGAAATCTAAAACAATTTTCTAAAGAACAGATGTCATTTACTATGTGAAAACATTTGAAATGGGTGAATAAAAGTTTAATATGATTGTAAAAAAGTGAGTTCTTATTATGGAAAGTGGATCCCTGAGATAAGTTATTTTTTTTAAACAAAAATAGAGCAGACCGCCAAGTTTTGATGTCAGATTCTTGAACACGAGACAAAACTAGGTCATTTAAATTGAAAATTTTTCAAAAAATTCCGCGAGTCATTCAAAACAAACATTTATTAGAATTAGGGCATAATTGAACATATGACTTATACACTATACTTATAATATACAGCAAAACCCTTGGTAATCCGACCCCTGTTTAATCAAGTGCTCCTGGTAATCCGAAAGTCCTAGGTACATTCATTTCAACAAATCTTTGTTAATTTGTGTTTGAGCAGGTTGTAACTACAGTTTGCACCACTACAAATTTTGCAAAATATACCCAATGCTGTTGTGTATTGTGTTGTTCGAATTATCAAATTCCCATCATATGTTTCTTGATGAGTAGAATTAGGAACCTCTGGCACTTTTTCCTCATCAGAACAAAAATTCTGTTTCTCAAACCTAACCAGGTTAGCACCATCAGGAAACCAAGTAAGCATCATCAAGAGATGACTAAAACTGCTGATGATGCCAAGCGAGAGACAGCATTTGTGAGAAAAAGGTGTTTTCTTCAACAGATCTTATGTTTTGCAGAATCTTATCACTTTGATTTGAGTTTCGGACTACAAGGGCTCCGTGACAGTAACTCTATAATCTTATAAATTAGCTCATTCGACATCGCCTTGCAAAATATTTGTCGGGTTACCGCGTTCAATTGAACAAGTACATACACTATAAATTTAAAAATTCAGACACATAAAGAATTAGAGAAGCTAGGTAAGGTTAGATCAAAAGTGAGTGGGTCTATTAGACTCTCCACCGCAACCCGCAAGGGTTGCTGGGTAAACCCAGCTTCTTAACGAAGCCGATTAGTTTATATGGTGAATAGTGTTTCAGGTCAGATGATAGAAGTGTGGTTCTACCAAACTCTGAAAACCTGATTCAGTGCGCAGCGGGGCAGCCACAAAGTATATGCTCTGGTGTTTCATCATTTTTTAAACTGAGACACACACTGAATAAGCTAAAAATGTGAGGAGTTTTCTAATTTTGTGTGAATATCTAATTATTATTGTTTATGTATGTTTTAGTTACCAAACAATATTGTCCTACATATTTGCACCCAATAGCACAGCGAAATTTGATTTTTCAAACTAAAAAACAAATCAAATCATAATTGAAACAAAGTATAACACAAAAAAAGAAATTATTTTATAGTTGATTACAAGCCCATAGTTTTTAGTAGATATTATATGGAAAAAAGCTTTTCAGCTTTCTTTTTCTCCATTAGTATCATGTGAGTGAAACTTTGTGTCAAAACTCTTTCAATATTCTGAAAGAAACAATGCATGATCTACAGAACTGAATGAAGAGTTTTTATTCAAGTTTATTTGTTTGGGTTGAGTATATTTTATTTGGTTTTCTCTAGTATTCTATTAAAAGAATCCTATGTGATTTTTCATAAAGAAAAACAAACCCATAATTCAATAAAACACAAGTATTCGTTGTATTCGTTGATTTTGTAACATTTTTACATATTAGTTTCATTCAATTATTTGGTTTGATTAGTTTTTCTGAAGAAAATAAACAGAGGTCAATTCATTTTCAATGCGATTTTTAACAAAGAAAAACATTCTTATTAAAATAAACCATCGTACAAAAATTGTGAAATAATTCAATAAATATTTTGTAAATTTCACTTGAAACCAGCACTTTCTTCAAGAAAACATCCATAAAATAATTGTAGAATAACATCAAGTTGTCAAACTCAGTAACGCCTCTCCCGCTTTCATTGTACTACATGCTGTTATATATACAAATAAACATTATCGAGGATAAAGGATTCATTCGCCTCACTTACCGGAAGAATCCGACGGTCCCTGAAATTGGTCCAACTTCTGCCGTTTGGCAATCGGGGGGCCGTCTACGAGGTGATCGGCCATGGCAAAATCAGTGCACTTCGGTGTTTACCAAGCCAAAGCCGAGCACTGGCCCAATGCTACGGCTTTCCCAACCAACAACACGGTTAGTCTTTATTTATCGAAATTTCAATAAAAACATCATTTATGAGCGAAAATATGAAATAAACTGAACCAAATAGACGATGTAGCGTGTGTTCGATCCCCGATGCATCTTACAAGGCACATATTTATCGAACGAATGTCAACCATCGGCCATTATGAACTTCGACTAATCCGACTGGTCGACTATATTTCGCGACTGCCTCTCACCATCTTTCGTCCAAACCGCACTACGATCTTAAACTTATTCACCCTGCGATCTCACTTTTACACTCGTTTTAAGCAACCACTACTGTTATTAAGACACAATGCCATAATCTAACACCGATTTTGCTAATGAAGTACTTCTTCAATTTACACACGACGCTACAATCAACGAAATTCGTCCGAAATTCTGCACAATCTCAAACAGGCAAAATGGCCGCTGTTGATGAAACCTTTTCCTACGCTTGTCAGAATATCATGTCTATTAAAACCTGTTTCTCTTGTGATTGGCTGCCAACAGTCACGTGACGCAGTACTTTGATTTCATTGGCCTGTTCTCCGGAAGAAATAAAGTGACGCAGCGTCCGTCATTAGTCGTGACGTCAAGTAAAAAAACGGAGATTGCCGAATTTCGAGACAGTTCGAAGTAGATTTCAAAGGGAGAAAACCAACAATCGTCCTTTCATATTTTCATTCTACAAGTTTTCATTATTTGGGAAAGGATTGTTATAAAATATCAGTGAACCAATCATAGAACTTCAAAATTAGAAGGTACAATAACCTATTGAGAGTAAATATGTGGTTACACACTGTTTTTCATTTAGAAAATTTTTAGTTATAATGTTGGCTAAACTTTCTGTAGAATATACCATATAAGACAAAGAGTACAAATTTTTGCATAAATATTACAAATGTAGCTGCATTTTTAAAACTAGTGTAGCAGAATTCTTTTTTCTATTCAAAATATAGACCAACAAGTAGCTTTTCTGACAACTAACGTAAGTCATATTCCGTGTTAAAACCAACCTCACGCTAGTTTTGAATCATCATGAATACGTTTCAAATCGCCAAAGCGCCAGAATGAATGTATTTGAATCACAGACGAATACGTTTTGAATACATGAGCGCCAGAGAATGCCTGTATGGATGATAATAATGAAAACGAATTCAAACCAGGCTTGCCAATGAAAATTGAAAAATGTACTACAAAGCTTGGGACAGAATATAGATATTTTATTCGCAGTATGATAAAAATACTCACAATACTTTTCAAATATATGGAATTCATGAAAAAACAATTTATCCATCAATCTTTAATTTTGTTTTGAAGTTTATACAAAGGGGATAAATTGCCTACTGCCATTGAACTTAGAAAATCAGAAATAGAGACTTGTGAGCAATTTCATTTCTGTCGTAAGTAGGATCTACTGATAGTAACTGATGAGTATAACAGAGACAAGAATGCCCACATCGAACCACATTCCACTTTATTTTACTACATTTAAAGTAAACCTGAGCATATCACTCATCTGATCTAACAGCCAACTCATATCTCATCAAATGTCACATGTATCACTCATATGAATATCTTATGAGTCCATCGATTGATCCAATAGATACATCTATAAGTTCACTCGAAAGATTAACGCTTTTCTATTGGTTGAATCCATCCATTGATAATTTTCTGTTAAATTCAAGAACCCGTTCTGATATGTAAGAGTAACTGAAAATAAAACGTCTAATGCCAGCACAGAACACACTATTTATTGTCGTTTCGCTCTGTCAAACTGGTCAGAAAAGCAGCATTCTACCTACTTCAAAGTCCTCACAAAAACTTGTAAATCCTGGCAAAATCGTCATAAAATACTATTTTCGTAATTATTTTGATTTAACGGTATTCAGATGACAATTGAAAAGTTAATGTTATCAGCCTCCACCCGATTAAGATTTTTAACGGACGGCGGCCGTTTGTGGTACGTGGTTTGTTCTTTCCTTGGAATCAAAATGTAATCTTTCAGGGGGATTCGGTTGTTATAATCCTCGACTGCGCCTCGGATTACAATATTCAACCTCATCCGTTATTTGTAACGTTAATAACTATATCGCGCACTTCAACCACCTTATTTGATATGGCACATTCATGTAAAAATGTATTTGTTTCAGGCGTTTCATGATTATAGTAATACTTATATTTGAAATATTGTAACAAGACATGGAAATATTGAGATTGCAATTAAAAAACTAAAATTTCACCGTGTTCAATAAAGTGATTCAGTATTTTGGTCATGTAGCATATATCTAGTGCAGGTGACGTTGATAACTTTGTCAATAAACTACCTAGGAACTGAGTAAAACAAGGAAAAAAATTGTACATGATTCATGTACGGGTATATTTTCAGAAGAGTTTCATTGTGGATATGTATATTTTTTTTGTAAATGCTACGTTTCGGTCCATTATCGAATAATAATGGTTTGATAATAAACTAAAACGTCGGGTTATAATAAAGCAGTTTTGACTGATCTCTTCTCTCTCCAAAATCTGAAATTGAGTCACCAAAATAACTCAACATTCAATATTCAGTCTGCTTGGGGGTGTTGATATCGTTTTTCCAAAACTAAATGCGTGACGAGCTCTGTTGTATTTATACTTCAGATGATAATTCATCTTCAACAGTATTATCTTATTTAAGAAACTTTTTGTGAGATTTTCCCTCAAACAGTTTTACAAAAACGCATCACGTGTTTCGCTATACAATAGCCTCTTCCGGCGTGTCTTCACACTATTTAACGAACTCTCGATTCTATATGAAATGACAAATTGAAATTTGTGTCACTATTCGTCTTTACAAATATCTAACATTGGTTTTTATATATGATTGATGAAGTTTTTTTCCGAAACAGAAATGCAATTAATAATTTTATTTTTCAAATGCAAACATTTTACAACTATTTGAGACTTACAAGTGTTGAGGAAGGCATTATTATGTCAACTCTTTTTTGAAAATAGTAGGTTTTCTCTGGTTCTAACAACCGAGACTGTATCGAAACTGCGCAAGACATGGTGCGGACACTTGTTTAAACCAGAACGCTTTTGAGGAGACCACTGTGCCACCTATCGTATATATGAAGAGATGAAGATAAGAAAATACTATTAATCATCTCCATTTTGTTATGTAGCGTATCCCTAAGTCAGTTCAAATGTTATACACCCTCAATCAACAATTATTTAAATCAAATAAATAAAAAAACATCCTAGCAAACAGCCCTAACAAATTTCCACACGAATGCGCATGAGCAACGGTAACAGTTCTTAACAGTTCAGCCTCGAGAGCAAGAAAGATTCGGGACGGTTCAAAACAGTTTAGGATCATTTCGCAGTCGAAATCAGAACAGAGGATTCATTAGTCCGAAATTATCCTCAATAAACCAAAACGCTCTATATCAACTGCGCATGAACCTGACGTCCTAGAACCTGAATTTCGTAGAACCAGAACAAACCTAGTGTGTGATGACAAACAAAAGACCGAACACAGAGCTCGTATTGAACGAGCACATCTTAGACGTATTCTCTCTATCTCTCTCTCTCTCTCTGTTTCATTGGTCGTTGTTTGTCTTCTTTTGTTACTCTGAGGTCGTTGTTTACGGATAAGTGCAATTGGTCAGTTCTCCATTTTGTATGGTTATGTGACATAAAACGTTGTATTTTTTTAATTAATTTTGTATTCAGTTTTTGAGTTTTGTATCTTAGGTACCTATATATCAATTTCTTGTACCTATGTATGTTTCATAGTCACAAGCTGAAATTTGGTATTATTTCATTTGTTTATACCTCATTTTCAGTCATTTTTTTGATTTTCATTCTGAAATCTGTTTGAAATCTATTTTTCCGTTAATCAGCTGCCGCCCCATACGAACGACAACTCTCAGAAGTTGAGAAACTTGTGCGAGCTGAGGACTAACGAGGTCTTACCTTTTAACGTGTGATTCCTAACACGTTAAAAGGTCATTACATTCAATGCGTATTATTACATATTTGTGTGCCAAACCATTTTCTCCCATTACACCCGCTTTCGCAAGTATATCGTTCCTAGGTGTGAATTTCATACATTCTAATAGTATAATTCAAGACTCTATATATAGGTTTGTTTGGGTTTTTTTGTACATAGGTTAAACAATATAACTTCATATTCTCCTCCTCATTATGTAATGCTATTTGATTATCTGTTTGATCGTCTTCTTCCATTTCATTATTCATTTATGAATTTATTGATGGATTTTCTGAGTTTTTCCTATCAAATAGGTATACGAGAGTTGACTTGATAGTGTAGACGCTTTTTACCTCCGCATCTGTACTATCCCTGCTATCGTCAGCGTTGTCAATATGCTATTTTTGGGGATGGGTAAGCCCTCCCCTTTCTTCCTTAACATGTTAACAGTTTTTTACTTGCTCAGGAAGTTATAAATATAAAAAAATTACATTAAAAACAAACCCGCTTTTTATGCTTGAAACTTCAAGTTGATCAATCAACCCAATATTTACTATCAAAATGTTTATATTCAAAGAGGAAAAGGTTAGAAAGAAAGAAAAAATCCAAAAAGGTAGCACACCTGTTCCTCAGTTCGATGTGTGCAGAATAGCACAAACCACTAGAGTAAGTGGTTTGTGGAGCTGCAACACCAATAAAGGTACAAGGTGTATTCGTTTAACACAAATCTGAGCTGTCCCAACTAATAGCGTTTTCCATTTAAAACCAGTGCATATTCACAGTATCTCTGCTGTTCTCTACTTCTCAATACATTATCGAAGTGTACAAATACAGCGAAATTGCACTAGTTTTGTCAATGGAAAACTTTAAAAATCCAGTGTCTGGAATTTACTCGTTTTATTGTCCTAATCCGGACCCGGACTATTAGACATGGATATAACTGTTCAAAATTTTTGATGGTAATTAGTTGTAATTTGCCATTGCTATTCAGAGGAAAGATAAGATTAGTTACTAATACAACAGCTGTGACAACGGTCATGATTACTGTGAAGTGAACCGTAGTTAGTGCAAGCGAGCTGAGAATTTACTAACGAATAAATTATTATTTTTCTATAAATTTCTGATCAACAAGTGGTTGCCCATCCGTATTTGAAAATGAACGATTATAAAGACGATACTTTGATTAGAATTCAGAATGAAATTAAAGAAAATCTGAAAAGGGAGAAAGAGTTGAAGAGCGGTTATGCAAAGATAAATGGACATGATCATAATAGTTCTTTGGTAATTGAATCTAAGGGAAATTCGAATTCAAGCACCCTGCGGCGTTTCATTCCAAACACCAATACAAAGGGCGTTATGCAAAAGTTTTTTAAAAGTCGAGGAAAAGTCAATTCCTTGAAACAAACGGATTCAAAGGGACATTTCATAAATGATGCAGCTTTTTGTCCTGCAAAACTGATTGTGGAAAAGGGTAAACCTCTGAGAAATGGATATATTCCCACTAAAGAAAAGATTGTGAAAGAGTTACTTGATTTCCAGTCTCGTGAAACTGAATTGAGAAATGAAAGAATTAAATCTCAATCCGATTTGATGACAGCTCTGGAATTGGAAAGTTCTGATTTTAAGTGGGGTAATGGAGTTGGAGACATTCTGAAGGCTGGAAAATCTCTTTCTAGTCTTCACCTACTCGATGAAGAGGAAATGCAGGAAAATAATTTTTCTGCACCATCTAGTTTGAAGCCGTCACGTTCACTTGCAGCTTTGTGTGATCTCTCTGATGAGGAGGTAGAAATTCCAGGTAAAAAAGAGTTGAGGTTGATTAGAGTAAAAGAGTAATAAATTCTATAGAATTTCAAGTAATATTTGTGAGAATATTTACGGCTTGTTCAGAAAATTTCAGTTTATCAAATTTTTTTAAATAGGACTTCGTCTCGAGAACTTCTGATTGATTTTAAGAATATATTCAAAGAACTTTTATATTGGGCCACCTTCAGCTTTGAAATGTTCATAAAATATCATGAAATTGAATTCTATCCTGAATCCTGAGAGTTATGATTGTTTGATGATACTCAAATAAATTGTAATTTTTCTGTCAGACCCTTGATGATTGTATGAAAGGAAACAATATGTTTCTTCATGTTGACTGTTAACACTTCATTATTTGAATAAATATAGCACTAAATATGTAAAATATGTTGATACCCTAACTCTTTAATTCCTGTGAGATTTTTTCATATCTTACCTTCTTTTGAAATTCATAACAAAATTTACCTTTTTTTGTCTCAACCCCATTTCAATCTGTTGAATTATTACTATAACCTATGACCTCTTGTGGTTGTCAATCAGTAAAAATAATGTACTTCAAGACCAAGTATCTACTTATGCATATGTGGTAAACTTTCAAATTAAGAGACAAAATCCGTTCACAGGATAAAGTCACTATCAGTTCATTTTTTTTGTAACGTTGATTCATATTTATTTCATAGTTTTTAATAATCTAATTTTCTTTAATCATTGACTCCTGCGAGAGGTTATACCTAGATTAAATTGAAATTTTCCTTTATACTGGATTTTCAATGCCAATTTTCATCAAGACTGCAGACCACAGCTAATAAACCCGGAAACATTGGACAATCTATAGATTATTTGTCAATTTCTTGAACTCCTGGATTGGAATATCAAACCATTTTAGGTATTTCTCGCTTTATTACCCAAAAAATAGAGTGACAAAGAATTTTTTGAGAATCAGCTCTGGTATAGTCTATATGAAGTTGATTCGAATGGCATAAAAACTAAATAGTTACATCGCATAGGCGGCGTGATATAATTTACGAGGTGTAATCGTTATTTTTATATGGGAGGTTTTATATGGTAATAAATAGTATAAATTTTTCAGACCCGGTACATTAATCTTTTATTTAGGTGTTTGGATTGACTTCATATAGACTATACATGAAGGAATATCTTGCTTCCATTCAAGCGATTGTCGGGGCTTTAATTGAAAATATATAGCTTATTTCATCAAAAGTCTGAAATTTTCAGGAATATCATAAAGATTTTCATATTATGAGCATATGTCTATAAAAAAAATCAGTTCCATATTCAAAATTTCAAAGTTGAGGAATGGCACCCTGTATAAAAATTCTTATTCTAATAGTTTATTGAAAGTTGATGCAAAAAAATATAAACAGATTTTCAATATTTCTGAGAATAAAGAAAATATAGGCAAAAATAAAATTTGGAATTATTTGTTTTTTTCAGTTCAAAAGCACTCAATACTTTGTCAGAATTTTACGTCTCTATCTCTCAGCATTTACAAGATCCTCATGTATAGACACGAATTTGAATAGCCCTATATATAAACAAAAAATAATTAAAATGTTGAGAAAACTTTGACCGGTTTCTTAGTAGTATCACATAGGTCGTGATTTTAGGATCACCAACCCACAATTCTGGTTACTTTTGGAAAATATCTTGAATAAATTATCTTATGTTATAGTGATCAGTGACTTTGACAACTCACGAATCATAGTAAAGTTATAATATGAATATACTGAATAACTATCAATTGTAATTCCAATTTTTTGCAGGTACACATTCACTTATAATGCAGTTTGAGAAAATGAGAACTAAAGAAAACTAAGCGAAACACCACCTAAAACAATGCAATAGACAATATAAATGTGATATATCTGTCCAAGTTCATAGAAAATTTTAATTCTATCTATTTTGCCGTACTATTTTGAACACTTATTTATAAACAAGTATTTATTTATTTATTTATTTCATTATTTTGTGAAAGGTTTTTGTTGTGAATATTGATTTTTCCAAGTACTTATTGTTTCAATAAATGCAACTACTGTGTTTGAGTAAAGGAAGTTTGTTAAGGCAATGTAAAAACATCAGACATTTAATCTTCACTTAGTCTTCTAGAAACGTAAAGTTGACTTTCAATAAGACTGACACTTTTACATCAAGAAAATGTATATCCACAGTCCCAAATCTTGAGTAAAAATTTACAATTACACACGGTTGTGTGAATTACAGTTTACTATGACTAAGCTTTGAGATTAATGTTTGGTCCAATATTTTAAATTTTTTTCAATCTTGTCTGTTGTCTGATAGTAGTCTCGAGAAATTAATGATAGAAATGATGCAGTGCTGACGTAAATAGTTCCCCCTCTTAACTTTTGAACGCAACAAGATATCATTTTCGTTTTTTTTATTTTCGAAAATTGTATCAGCTGTTCCTGAGTAATTAGCAGTGTTATATAAGTTTTAAGGATTTACAAACAAAATATAAATTTAATTTCAAGAAAAAATGCATTTCAAACTCACTTCAGTTCATTCCAGTAAATGTTTAAATTGATCACTATTCACTTCCTGCTAATAATGAAGTTTTTTAATAAATTCATTATGGAATGTTTCTGAGATAATTTTGTCAGGAGCACCTCTTATACTTACCATGAGTTCTGGAGTATATCCCTCCGAAGAGCTCAGTAGTTCACCTGATATAACGCCTCCAGATGTTTTTGAGGGAGTATGTGACACTGAAGTGTACGATACACAACTACAGTTCATTTCAGAACTCGTTGATAGATAAAGAGATATTGTACTGAAGTACTTCAGTACAGTAAGTAAGTAAGTACTGAAAATCATACTTACAAAGTGAATCTTGTTATTTTGTTGCCTCCAAAAGTGAAGGGGGCAAAGACTTTTCACCTCAGCACTGCATTCAAAAATTATAAAATACATTATTATGTTTGTGCCTTACATTGCCATCGGTGGTCAATTTTTATCATAATAAATTAAATCAAGCAAATAATTGAGTTTATTTTGTGCTCACACATTGTTTTCCCAGAAATAATAAAATCAAGATAACCTGTGTAGAACCCAAAAATAGAATAGTTTTCCCAGAAAATATTTCAATAAATATAGAATTGACAAAACATTATCTCTAAATTTAGAAACCCGCGAATAACAAACTCTTTTTTTTTATAAAGAATCTATCGAATTGAATCATGATAAACAAGTAGAAAGCTAAACGTTTTTTCTCGAAAACTTGTCTCTTCTGAAAAATATTCCCTTTTCAATTTAAAAAAGTTTGGTTGGGATTAAATTAACTAACAGTATGAATGTTTTTATGAACTATCATCGTGACAAAAGCAGATTTGTCTCTTCGAGTGACAAATTCGTAATTTTGTGAAAATACTGCTGATGAAGAGATGAAGACAAATATTTTGTGGTTTTGTACCGTCCACATGAATGATATTCTGTTTCAATTTCATCATGGATATTTGGAGTACAAACTGAATGGGAAAAAGTGACTTTCGTGAAATTCAATGTTCATATCTTTTTTTTCATCCAGTTTGTATTCAAAAGAAATTTCTGTGCATGATTTACGCATCTTCGTAAAGAGTCTTTATTGAAATTAATTGCTTTTGTCAGAAGTATATAATTTTTTTGTATAATGATGGAGTAACAGAGCCAAAAAAGCTTTTGAATTGAATTGAATTCTTTTCATATACTTATTTCTTAGTTTGTCTTTTTTTATTCATGAAACTGGATTTATATTAAACAGGTAAGCTAACTGCTATTCATTCTCAACGAATTTTTATTGAACTAGAAGAAGCAGTAATCGAATGGCAATAAGAAAAATACTTAGGGTGTTTCAAAGAACATGAACTCGTTCTGAAATGCCTTATTATGATTATCACTGAACAAAATACATAAGTGATTACCAGTGGCGTAGCTACCTTAGGTGGCACCCGGTGCGGAAGTTGGTGGTGTCACTCCGTCAAAAGTTAAAAACAATAAATTGTATATGATATTGATAAACGTCATGGATCATTTAATTTTTTTTTTATATATTTAAAATATTGATAAAATTACAAAACACAATAAAATCAAAGACATAGAAAAAATATTTTTATCTTACAATTAAAATCTTTCCTTTCTAGCTTTGAAAACTGCAAACTCAGAAATAACTTCATCAACATTTATATTTTGCATTGCCTCGTGTTCAATGGCCAATAGGTATAGCAAGATTGCTAAGCCGCGATTGACGTTTAACAATTTACGCCAACCACTTCACGAAACAAATGAGAAACGATACCACTGAGACGTCACGGATCGCGACTATGGCTGGTGTCATCCCAAAAAAGGTGACACCCGGTGCGGCCCGCCTACGCCACTGGTGATTACTATTGTCCTATACATGTGTGCAAAGCGGCTTCCAGGGATTTATAGCTCACGATATTTCAACGGTAGCCGCTCTATTTATCACCCGAAGACGATTGTGGATACTTAACAATCGAAACGTCGTGAAGTAACTGGGTTTGGAATCTTTTGATTTTCATTTCGTGTTAATATTTTTTTAATTTTCATTTCGTGTTAATAGTTCACTTTTTTATTTTTTGGTTGTTGCTTGTATTTTATTTCATTGTGATTTCAGTTTTTTTTGCTTAATATATTTGTTATTTTTCAGCTAATCCTTTTTAATTTTTTACAGATTCTTTCAGGGATTTCAAATCAATTTATATCATATTACACAATGGAAATCCGAAATAATGAAATGATAATTTTTTATACCTAAAACAATATATATGACTTAGTCAAAGTATTTTCCATCAAGGCAACTTGGACTAGAACTTCAACATTATTGCCTTCTTTATTGACTATTCCTAAATGATCTTGTTGTCTATTACTAACGTCACCAGTTTCCATGAATTTATGTATGAATATAATACATTTCTGCAAATAAAATTTTAAATAAAGAAACTAAACTACAATCACTATTTCAAAATAATTTTGACATCAACAACTTCCATACCTATATTAACTAGGTGTTGAAATTCAGGACCATATTGTGAACTTAGATAAGATATTTTCCACCGTGTGTTCTTATTTGTTATATTCATTAGTATGATTCAGATTCAACATTACGAATGGTGAAATTGTGTTTACAGGTTGACCTATTTTGGAATTGAATAAAAACCCAACAGGGTATTTTATTTTTTTTACGTTGCTTATTGTTGTAATTGTTCAAGACCTTTCAAATAAGGTGTTTCTTCTATTAGAAATTTTTCACATGAGGGTTGTTATGGAGAGGTGTGCTCCACGATTTTTTATAGTCTCTGTATCAACTGACTCATTCGCGGTAGCTCAATTAAATTCAAATACACTGCATGTTCGTATATGTTTATCACGTCGAATGTGAATTGCCCATTAAAAGCCATGGAGTCCATACCGATGAGTATCTAATGCAGAATGCAGTCGTTACCAAACCTATTTTGAGAGCCTGAAAATAAATTAGGAATACATGAATGTTCAATAGAGAGTTTGCTTTATTTGTTTCCAAAAACATGTTTCGTCCTGCAGACCGCAATTATCCATTTTGTATTTTCTCAAAGCTCTCAATATGCTTTCAGTAATCAGAAGACCATATGAAGGTACATTTGTGCCTATAACAGAACAGACAAGGGTTTTGAGGCTATAAGTAGTTGATAGATTTTTAATGATTTGTATTGATTTCAATATAACAAATGTGCAATGTTGATGTGAAGGTTGACTAAATTGTCCTAAATGTGAACCATTCGTTACTTCACACTTACACAAGAATACAGTGAAGAAAACCAATCATTTTCGAATCACCTTCTTAAGCCATAACGAGTAAATTATCACTATCATCATAATAATTTTATCTTTAGTTAAGATGTTCAGAAATACACTAATTTGATTGGATTAGTATTTCTGCATTAAATTGTCATCATATTGTTTTGGAAATGCAAGATGGATAGGTTGAAAAACCATTTTATTGAGACAGTTCAAAACTTGAATGTCTAAAATAAATATACTTTGTGAAGTTGTAATCATAGATGTTACGTGGTTTTTATAAATATATGCAAACAAGACCAAGTACAAGATGCGGGTGTCTACGCATCTTCACCCAGTTTAACAAAAGAAACAAAATATTTTTGGATCTATCTCTAGAACGTCAATATTACCAAGTTTGAAAATAAATGAAATTTTCAAATATATTTGTGCCGGAATGAATATGTATGTATTCAATAGTTATTGAAGTAAGAATAAGTATAACGGACCAATCAAGTAGTTGATCTTGAACAGTCCACAAAAAAGACCTTTCACAGGTCAACCGAGGTCACTACTATTGCTCCTTATTTCCTTGAGTGGTACAACTTTCTATGGCTTTTTTTTCCATGAGCTGCACTGCTCATATATTCGCGGGGCTGACTGACTAATGTATTTAAGGTTTTTGCGTATACACATACGGATATGCAAATATATGTATGTACCACTGAAGTACTCCGGCCTAGAGTTCAAATTCAATCATCACAGCTAAGATTTTCAAATACTCGTACGCGATTAAAAAGACACTCGTCTCTGGTAAGTTTTTGGGCACCCCATGCAAAAATTCAGTTAGGAAAGTCATGAAAAAACTATTAATTCAATAGATCAGAAAGTAATAGCACCTAAAGGCTGACTTTCGACTAAAGACGGTCAGATGTCAATCTTGCTGAAGTGCCCATCTGCCCATCAGTAGGACTGAGGACCGCTCCAGGGGAGCGGGGGTGGATGAAATGGTATATTAAGTTTTCCTCAGAAAATGTATTTTGTGGCTTTGTGGGGCGAAGTTTTTACTCCAGGGCACTCAACCCGGGAGGGGGCTAAGATTTTCAGTTAACCTTGAATTACAGAGAAGTATTTTTCGGTTTCTCGTTTTACACATTGTATTTTATCATCCAAAAGAGGTCTGATATAGGTGGTCATACTGAACATTACAGTAAATTAAATTAGAATTGGTATTAATTTTTATTATTGATTTCAAATGAAGTTACCGAAATCTCGTTTTATGACAGCGGTATTTAATGCTTTAGTGTTACAGTGTTTTCCATTGTGTTGTGATGGTGCTCTCGTGTCACACTGACACTACACGGTATGTATATGATTGGTACATTAACAAAAACAATTGTTAACTTTATCTGAATGTTCTGAAAACAATTCCTTATAACTTCAAAATGAAATCAGAATACACAATAAAAAAACTTGATAATTAAATTATCACCTGTTGCAGTTCTGACCTAAAAATAATTCAAGCTTGTTTTCACAGTATCATACCTTGAACAAAGCTGAAGCGAACGACAATCAATATACCCGTCATCGCCTCCTTTGTCCATAGACGAGGTACTAACAAGCCGCATATTCGAATGACCCAAATCCTCATTTAACGAAATGAATTTCACCTATAGTAAATGGTCATACTTGAAGACTAGCTACTTAAGATGACGACCGCTCCTACATATATTCTTTGCCTGCCCTAGTAATTCTCACAATATACAAATACTTCATGCCTCTCTCAGCATCCCTCCTTCAACAATTCAGTCTCTTACCTTCTACGATATCTTTTTCAAATATATATATATATCACCATCTAACATACAAACCATATCCAAAGTCCTGATTGCATCCAATATAAAGCTGTAGTGACCAAGATAGCCCTAATACTTGTGCGCATGCAGTGCTTCGTCAATCATGACCTGATCATAGCGCCCATACACGTAACCGTTGTGCATCACCTCACATTAGTGTTTACACTCTAGTGCAGTCGGTCATCGCTTGTTAATTGACTTTAAATTACAGTTGAACTTTGTTTTAGCGCAAACCCAGGTGGGGTTTGGGTCCGACTCAGATCTACTTTAGTGTGGGATCCACCTATAGTAGCAACATGAATCTGGAACTCTTGGTTGGATAGCCCTGGCAATTGAAGCCATTGAAGAAAAAAGAAGAAGAACATAACAGTCCATGAAAATAATGGATCAATAATTTTGATACTGACATATTTCGTTATTAGTAATTTAGGAGGTGAAGTATTCGGAATCTGTTATTATATTTTGTAGTTTATTAAAAGTTGATTCCATGACTCCAATGAAAGAGGCATCGCCTCCAGTTTCAGCGATGGCAACTCCAACAAATAGCAGTGGAAATCTAGTGGACGAATTCGAGGAAGCTTTTCAGGTTGAGTTTCTTATTTTCGAAAGTTTAATCACTTTTCAATGACTTCTCACTTTCAGCATTGTTTGAATGTACTTACTAAAGAAGAAGCCATACTTAACGCAGATAAAGATGAAATTAAAGTGGAAGTAGAGCAAACAACATTGCGATTTATTGATTTAGCTAGGCAAATGGAAGCTTTCTTTCTGCAAAAAAGGTTTCTTCTTTCCGCTCTCAAGCCTGAGATGAATGTTAAAGAAGATATCAACGAACTTCGACTGGAGCTAGCTAGAAAAGAAGAATTACTCAAAAGGCATTATGACAAAATTGCCGTTTGGCAAAATCTATTAGCTGACATTCAGAGCTATTCAAAGAGTCCTGCCCAAGGTAATGCCACCCCAGGTGGTGGTTCTATTCCTCCCTCTCCTTTGCCTAGCATACCTGGAAATCAAACTCCCAATCAAATGATGCCCAGTATTCCAGCTGCCATGCAGCAGCAACTTCAGCAGCAGCAGCAGTTACAACAACAGCAACAATTGCAGATGCAACAGCAAATTCAGCAGATGCAACAGCAAATGCAGGTAGATCGTCGGTAAAACCTTATGACCAATCACGATATTCAACTCGATTGATGAAAGATTAATTAAATTAATGTATTTGAAAAGAGAAAATCGGATTTGATTAGCCTTCCATTTATCTAGCCAGTTTTGATCAGATTGAAAGGGGAATGAAAACATGTTTGTTTATTTTTTAACTAAAAGATGAACAAATTGTTTCAATCAACTATTCAAGGAGATCGAAGCTGTCAATATAAACACTATCATTGTCATTTTTATAGTTCGAGCATTCAATACTGATGGTAAGAAATATAGACGGTTTCAAGTAATTATTCATTACAAGTAGCAATTTCACATCCACAAAGTACGCTGAAAACATGGAATTATTAATTTTTTCCTGTCAGTTTTTTACAAGCAACCAGTAGATTTGAGCATAAATTTCTCTGTTGTTGACAGGCGGAACAACATTAAAAATAAATGACAGTAAAAAAATTCATGAGGAATTACCTAGGCATATTATATCTTACTTTACCTTAACAAGTTGAGAGCTATATTGAAGTTCTCTAGGTCATTGGAGGGGTGAAATTGTTGTGAAAATGTTAGAAACTTATTTTCATGAAAAGTCTATAAACATTTTGAAATAAAACATCAACAACATCAGAAATAAAATCTTCATGGGTAATCTAGTGATGTGTTTCCCTCAAACCAACTGTCACGAACGACAACCCTCAGAAGTTGAAATTTGTGCGAGCTAATGATTAACAAAGTCTTAACTTTTGATGTGCGGTTCTCAGTAGGGTTCGAAGATACACGATGAATATTGATCATCCATTTAGTTGGGATGGTTATTATGACTAGTTTAGGACATTATCATGAAATCTGTGGACTATTCCAAACCTCAATTATTCCTTCATCTGAAAACACCAGATGGCTGTAGATCATAAGTCTACTTACTATCTTCTGATGGCTACTAGAGATAGAGAAACATGAATGGTTACACAATCTTGGGTTCAGCCAAAATATTATTCAGTAGTTTTGAGATTATTGGATTTATTTCCCTGTCTTTGCTTTCCACTGCACCGAAAATTATAACAGATACTCTCCCTAGTTGAAATCCTGAAAGCTGGGCCACAGTGAACGAGAGCTTCAAATTCTGAGATATCAGTACAAATTTTTGATGAATGTTTTGTATTAGATGAAAGCTTCTTCATTAACGAAATCGGTCTTGGAGAATTGTGAAATATTTCCATTTTATGCATCGTATAACACCTTCAGGCTCTGGTGCAGATGTTTTCAGTGGCGGACCCAGGACAGATATCATCCTGTCTAGGGACCTAGGCGACTAGGTATTTTAAGCGGAAATCTATGCTATTGAATTGTGTTCGGAGATATTGGTAGAATCCACCTCGCACAAGTCAATACAAATTTTCTCGGGCAGTCAAGCGGCGTTGGAAGCTCTTGGCTCCTACCGAGCAACGTCTAAATTGGTAGCAAATTGTCAAAAACGGCTCTCCTGGATAGGAAGACTCAACAAACTGTCTCTGGTCTGGATTCCTGGCTACACTGACCTGGAAGGCAATGAGGCTGCTGACTCCCTTGCAAAGGAGAGTGCTGCAAGTAGCTTCATCGGACCAGAACCTGTCATTGGCATTGCTTTAAGTTTTGCCAAACAAACATTGAACACCTGGATGGCAAGAAGATTTAAAGACTTCTGGCAAAATCTTCCAGGATTGGCTCACCCCAAGGCGTTTATTCACCCTTTGAAGCTTGAAACCAAACAATTGTTGGACTACAGTGAGGATGAACTACGATGTCTAACAAGCCTCCTTACAGATAACTGTCATCTGAATCATCATATGCAGGAACTCGGGCTATCGGAAGACTGTGTGTCGTCTCTGGTTTGGAAAATAATGAAACAGCAGAGCATATACTTTGTACCTGCCTCGCTGTGGACCGAATCAAATTTTTGAAGTTTGGTAGAACCACACTCTTACTATCTGACCTGAAAGATCACTCGCCATATAAAATAATCGGTTTCGTAAAGAAGCTGAGTTTATTTGGTCGAATGTGAATAGGTGTGCGGTGGAGGGTCGAATTGAATTGATTGATAATAGTACGTTCTGTGCTCACCGTTGTTTCAAAATCGTTTTCAAATACTATCATAGTTCCAGCATCTGCATAAGTTATCTTATGTATTTCCTTACATCATAACTTAATATTGTTCACTTATGAATTACGTAATAAAAGCTACTATATAAACGAACCTGATAAAGGAAAAATTAATAACTTACAGTAAACTTTGTGAATGTGAACAACTCCACGAAAACACCCTTTTATTGATTTATTCACATTTCATTACAATCACTGAAGTACTGGATAATGAGAGTCTTGAAGATAGGAAAATTTACTAAAGGAATATTTTCAACTTATTCAGAAGGGTAATTGAAAAATTTCAGCTTTTCATGCATAATATAATTTTTTTTTGAGAAGGGTTAAAATAATCTCTGAACATTTTTATCTTCTCTTTCTCCTGTCCTTTCACAGTGGGTGAAAAATCAAGAGCATTCTCTTCCATCTTCTTACCTAATACTGGATGTGAATAACCAAAATCCGTCTTTCATAAAGCTTTACTTCAACTTATTTGATCCAGTTGAGTATCGGGATCCCGTAGTGCATGCTATGTTTGATAACATTTGATTTTTATGAGAAAAAAAATCAGTAAAATTTGTAAATATGTTGTCTCATAGGTATATATTTTTTTAGATTTAATGTGACTGCAAATGGATCTCTTTTGTTTTATTTGAGTTGATTGAAATACATGCCAAAAAGTAAGCATAAAAATTGTCTTATCTACCAACTCTAGTTCCTTTAAAACTTTTATTGTTTGACTTTGTTTCTAACTGATTATTATTCTTTCTAAAGCTTGATGTTCTAGTTTTGCTTGGTAATAAAAACATTGCGAAGATAATTTTAAAACAGATGATTATTGAAGATGTAAAGTGTGAACCATCATTAAAAAAGTATGTATTCCAAAATAAATTCAAATTCACTAACAATACTTCGGTTTTTGTAAAATATAAAGAAATAAAATGACAATTAGGTTGTCAAATGAACTTCAGTTATAGGTTAAGTTCTTTGATTATGTTTATGAAGTGTATGTATGTTCAACTTATCGAGTGCTCATGTCAGTCAGACATGACGAGATGATTTTTGATGCAGTGCTCAAGTTGCCCATAGACAACTACGTCAGGCATAATGTGCTAGTATTACCAAACTACCAATATTAAGTATTTTGAAGATTGTCTTGTGGAAAAAGTGTATGTTGGAAATGTTGAGGTTATGGTGTTATAGTTATTTCCTTCTGTTACACTTTTCGACCAAAAAAGTTGGTATTGAATTTGTCCGTTTGCCACAGAAGATATCAGTGATTGTAGTGATGGACGGTTTGTCAATGTCCTTGATAGAAAAGAGGTCCTGTGAGATAATTCAGTCTACTTTGTCATGTTGGCAAGGATCACGTCAGGATGGGTAACCTGAAATTTCCTCCAAACGTTGATGTACGTAATGGGTCCCAGAGGGGCAGATATCAAACATATTATTTGCTGTTTTTCAGTTCATTGGCCGTACTGGTTTTTGAGTCTGGCATTTCGTCCGCAACGGTAGCAGACTCTATCTGCGATACACCTGCTGCGATATGCAAACTAAAAGTGTTCTGACATGTTTGCATTTACATTAAACTGGTTGTTGGACATCCTCTTATTTTCTCCCCTGCTTGGTCTGATTCATCTTGAATTATTGGTAAAATCTCTGTGTTCTCAACTCTGGACAACCAGAGGAGATATTCAATGACATTGCCTTTGACCAAATGCAGGTTCTAGACTAGATGAAACCAGAGTGTAGCACTCACAACTTATACAACCACTGTTGAACCCAGCAAAACTATGATTGTATCCTTCAAGAGGATGAGGAATCTCGATAATTCAACTCCACTTTCCTTCAATGGTAAGGTGATTCCATTAGCTACGAAAGTGAAATATCTATGTATTATCCTTGTTAAAAACTCGCTTGTAACAGTCACTTTGAAAAAGTTTTACACAAAAGGTGACTAACTGTCCCTATGGATTTGTTTGGTAGTCGAAAGCTTTACAGCAAATGCCTCTATTATACAGAACAGGCTTGCTTGGCTGTCTCTGGTGGTATCTGTACCTCATCGTCAGCCTCCTATAACATCACTCAGTATTGTGAATAATGTCAGTTGCACAAAACAGGCCTATGCAGAGCTTAGCAGATTACCGAAAGACATATTCTGGTAATTATCTTCGACTTAATCAACTATGACCTGCCTTGTACAGTCCTAATTCCAAGCAGTGAGGACTGGATTTTCCAGGAGAAGTAAATACTGACAGAGGTATCAACCTGACTGAACGAATATTTTTCTGGTGGAAATCTACACCATAGATTTACATGTGAAGAGATTAGCAGAAGCTAACCTTGCACATTTATCGATATAAATAATGTCGTCAATCAAGGGGCTCTGGAAGTACTTAGTTCTAATTGAGCAATGTAGAAAAACTCAACAAATCAATCCTGATTTGGATTCATGGCCACATTGGCTTGAAAGGTGATGAATCTGCTGACTTCCTTGCAAGGAAGGCGTTGCAAGAGGTTTCACTGGACTAGAATCTGTCATTAACATCGTTTTAGGTTTTGCCAAACAAACACGAAAAACTTGATTGCGAGAAGAGCTTCAGATATCTGTCGGAATCCACCAGAGTTGTCACATTCCAAGATATTTATAGCTCATGTAGGCCACCATACAAATGTTGGACTATGTTGCCTTACAGTGCTCCCTGTCCAGCATAACACGTACTTTGTGTTTGCCTCGCCGCGGCTCAAAACATCTTTTCAATGTTTGGGGGGATTTCCTTGAAGCTATCGGATCTGAAAGATCATCCACCAAACCAACTAATCTGCTTCGTTAACTAATTCAACTTATTTGGCGTGAGCCACGAAAAGCTCTCGCA